ATGGAGCTGGCGGAGCGGAATCAATTACTGGCCAATTAGTCCACAGCTGCTGGGGGAAGACGGACGGGGGGGGGGGGGGGGGGGGGGGAGCTGGAGAAGGGAGATTGATAGGGATGTGGGGAAACGGAGAAAGAGGCAGGGAGAGAACACACTAAGCACAAATAAGCAGGATGTAGTCATGCTCCGTGGGACCACCATCAGTCCTCCGCCGAGGCACACAACTCAAAGCACTTGGGGCTGCCATCGATTTTCCTCACTGGCACGCTGATGGAAACAAGGAATGAAAAGCATTTGTTTCTGCGGCCCTTATGTAACTCCCCAGGGTGTACTTTATGACTGTACTTTATGACTGTTTCGGTCACCTTGCACAAGAAGCGGCCGCCTTACCGCGTGTATAATGCTACATAAGCATTCTTAATTGCTTCAGCCTTTGTTAAGTGGGTCACATGACTATTTAGCTGCTTTGTCTGCTCACAGCCCCCACTTTCTTTCTGTTGGCGCTTTTCTGTGAGATGCAGCGTCTTCCTCTGTGGCCAAGCAGCTGAACGTCTCCTTGCAGGCCAAGTCATGAAAAAGTCACCTTTAGATCCCAACCCCAGCTGCCCCTAGAGCTGATGTCAGACGGTTAGAGGGCTCGCACTTAATTAAGTCAGAGTCTGCCCTGATTGGGTGCCCCCCCCCCCAGCTGGGTGAGAGCGACACTGCAGCAGGACAGATGAGAGAGCGGCGAGCCGGCTGCTCTCTAATCCTGAGCTCGAGCTGGAGGGGGGATCCTCTTTCAGGGCCTCTTTTCATTCTCCACCGTCTTTTCAAAATGGATATGTTTTTTTTCTCTTTTAATTTGTTTTTCTTGTTTACTTCATTGACCACAAGCAGAGCTTTTCTTCAGTTACAGTAATAGAAGCTTTTTGTGGACAAAAGTGTAATTTCCTCCTGCAGTTGGGAGCTGCAGTGATTTATGGATATCTCTGTCCGGCAGCGGCACTAGGCCCGTGCGGTTTGTTTTTGTCAGATCAGAGGAGCCTTTGGTAATAACAATCACCTGACAGTTTCCGGGAGATGAATCAAACTCTGATACTCCCCGTGTTATGCATGCACAGCACAACTCGCATTGTGTTTTTATTAATTGATTCCGGCACATTTGTTTGCTGTTTTCCGGCTCTGTGGCAGAGCCCCCGGACACGTTAGGCCACACCCCTTCTCCTTATTCTATGATGACCAGGCCAGTCCCCGAGATGCACTGTGGGATGCTGCATGATGTGGGATTTGCAAGTCGAGTTTGATGACTTTTGAGTTTTTTTTGTGTCTGATTAAACGTACTGTCCCCCCTCGTGTGTGTCCCACGTGACAGAGGTGTGCGAGGTGGACTGCGGCTCCCGCGGCGTCTGCATCGGTGGCAGTTGTCGCTGCGAGGAGGGCTGGGGCGGCCCCGTGTGCGACCAGCGGACGTGCCACCCGCGCTGCACCGAGCACGGCACCTGCAGGGATGGCAAGTGCGAGTGCAACCAGGGCTGGACGGGAGAGCACTGCACCATGGGTAGGTCCCACTGCATCCCCTCTCACAGTGTGTCAGAACCGGGCCTTCGTTTGTGCAAAGCATGGTACGTATCTCCCAGCGTGATGACAGCCCCCTGGGATTTGAACCAGCAACCTTTTAATTAACTGCCTCAGCTGCTTTACTGGCTTCCAAAGACGTTGCCCCCCCCCCCTCCCACAGAGCTGGTGTGCTGGATGGACTTTATTCCTGGCTTCCCAGGTCCAGGTCCCTGTGCCGGTGTTTAAGGAACCTCGTCCTGGTCATGGTTTCGGCCCGGCCTCCTGAAATCTCTGTGGATGTCTGACCACAGGACTGTGAATCCCACAGAGGAATGTTGTCCAATTAGGACATCTTGGAGGGGGGGGGGGGAGGATCTGCATTTCTGTGCCAAACATGAACCCATGCCGCACAAGCAAATCTCCTTTATTGTCCCCCCTCCACCCCCCGCCGCCCTGCTGTACTCACCATATTTCACCAGCGCTCGTTTAGTTCGGCCCCCACTTAGCAGCAGGCAGGTTTCAGCTGTGTCCAATTAGTCATCAGGAATAATTGTAAACCCTTGAAAACAGAAAAGAGTGCTTTGTTTCATCGAGCATCTTGAGAATTTCTTCATCACTGTACAGCTAATTGGGTCCGTTAGGCTGGACGGGTGGTATTACCTCGCGGTGATCCGGAGCGCGGGCTCTCACGCGCGCCGCGCCCGGATTTTCGCGGCTGTGCCAGGTGGGTTATGGGTGGCTCTTCACTGCTCGCGAGGCACCTTGAAGGCCGAGATGTGGGATTGGGATCGTTAACCGTGGCGGCGTCGCCGCCTGTTAGCCGGGCCGAGAGTCGCGAGTCCTTCCCGGCGGATAAGCCCTGGAGTCGCCCAGAGGCCTGCGGAGCTCGACACCGAGTCTTAACTTAAGCTGCTTATTTTCACTGCAGCTGGTTCGGTGAAGCCCGTACAGCCTGTTAGGAAGCTAGACTGGAACCGGCAAAGTACTTCCGGAGCCTGGTGACATTTCACAGTGTGGGACTCGATACCGGGCTGCGGGGGGGGCACCTCGTCGGGGAGAAATCCCCGTAAGCCGAGTGGACGTGTCCAGGCCTGGGGGGGGCGAGTCGGCGGAGGCACCGCCGCTCATTTATAATCAGCCCCCTTGTAAACCGGCTAAATTAAATTTGAATAGTTAGGGTTGTTGAAATTCATCAGGATTACGCTCTTTGCTTAAACAGGCGGAATCATTAACATAAAATACTGGGCAGGAGACGTGCTGCTCCGGGGGGGGGGGGGCAGCGGGGGTAGTGTGTCAGGCCGCTCGGATTTGGCCTTGGCGTGGTGTCGCACACGAGTATGTGGGACACAAGGCGCAGTGCAAAGGGACGGCAGCCGCCTCGCCTGCCTCGCCCGGCCTCCTGCCTCAGGAGCCCCCCAGAATAGATGCCTGTCCTTCCCCTCCCTCCTGCGCGTCCTTGAAATATACTTTTAATTTATGTTTTGTTCTCTGGACACGTTGGACCCTTCGTCACCGTGTGTCATGCATCTCCCCAATGGACAGCGTGTGTTTTTTTTTCTCTTCTTCAGTGTGTGTGTGTGGTAGGCGGTCAGCTGCTGGCCCGGTAAACGTTAGGGGGGGGGGTAATCTCCTGGCCTGCATGAGAGCGACCGGTCCGCTTCCAGTGAGTTAATGAGGTCTCCTCGCGCTCTTTGACTCCGTGACCCGCCGTCTTGCCCCGCAACTACGGCGAAATTGGCACTGGTCCTGGGGAGAGCCGCCGCTGACCCCCACACTACTCACTAGCCCCCCCCTCAGTGTCCCACATTCAGCACTGCCCCCCCACTGCACTGTGATACACTCCACTCAAAACAGAGCTGCATTCCCCCCCCCCCCCCACCATTAATCAAGTATTAACATGGCCCCCGGTCAGATCGGGGGTACGGGGAGTACACCAGGCACCCGGCTGCCCTGTAACTAGAAGCAGCTGGGGGCAAGATGTGGGGGTGTGTGGGGGGGGTGGTCATTATGAGCTACATCACTCCCCCCCATGCGGCAGTGCCCTGGTAAGAAATGATCTCCACTGTGCCAAGTAACGAAACTCCATGTTGCATCAGATGTGCTGCTGATGAGGGGCTTTTCCACACTGATCCTGAACAGCGTTCCCCCTTCAAGCTCTGAATAGCTTCTGCCCCAACAAAGCGGCTTTAATCCAATTATATGACAGCGCTTTGGGCCACATCGCCGTGGTAATCTCTAAGGGCTCCTTTCACTGCCTCTCTGGCGTGGTTTTTTTTTTTTTTGTATACCCGCATTGCGTTGATGCCACAGAGCGACAGTTTCATGGCTTAGACACGGCTGTTCGTTTCCGGGGCCCAAACAGCCCCTTTCATCTCCTCCTGTAAAGATTACGAGCCTCAGACAGCAGCATCTATCAGGAGCGTGACGTGTTTAAACGCAGCGCGGTGACTTCAGCCGGAAAACCTTTGTTGCGTTCTTTGCCGATGTAAAGCAGCCCCGATAGCCAAGGTTACGTTAAGTGGCGCGGAGAACTCTCCCCTTGACAGGAATAGGGAGAAAGTGGGAGCGTCACAGCACAGGAGAACAACGAATAAATACGGGCAGCATAATCGCTGATGGGCCACTTTCAGCTGTATGTCGCATGTTTCCGCTGTTCACTCTGTGAAAGGCTTTGTGTTTGTTTATTTCCTTTGGCACGCGCCTTCATGGCAGGACGTAGATGTGTGAAGGGTATTAATCACAGAGCCTCTTGCAGGCCATTCAGGAACAGCGAACAGGTGTGTTCAGTAAAGCCAGTCCAGCGGGTCAGGTGACAGGAGGCTCCCTCACTGCACCCTGGCCTGCCATCCCAACCCTAACCCTCCCCCAGACGGCACACATGTGTCATGCCGTACCCACAAACAATAGCTGCAGGTTTCCAAATGAGCTGGAGGAGAGGAAGACTAGAATTTTTGATTTAATAATGTCGGTTTTAATAGTAATATATTTCAAACGCACTTGGATTTTCTACGCATTCTAAATAAAAGAATCATAACATAAAAGCTAAAACAAAACGAATAATCCAATCTCTGTCCAGATCATCCCTGAACTGGTATCTCGCGGCTCGGTCGCAGGATGCTAACTGGCTAAATGCTAACGCTGCCGGGCTGGTTCATGCTGATCGATGCCACCCCTGACGTGGAGCCCTGGTTTGTCATGGCTCTGTGTGCAGGTGAGGAGCAGTGAAGGCCTGGTGGTCTAGCTGGTAATTAAGATAAAATGAATCTGGGGCCCAGGGGGTCTCCGCGGAGGGAGGCTGTTTGAGTGTCGGGTGTAACTGGTCAAAGAGTAATGTCATTTAGTCGGCAGGCAGAGCTAGGTTCCGCTGTGCATGAAGCTGTGCTTCATCTGTGCTCCTCTACCTGTAAATGGGGGCAGCTTCTTCACCTGATTAAGAGGCGGGTCATATTGTGTCTGTGAACCATATTTAACGCGCAGGGAGGGGGGGGGGGGTGCATGTTACCAGGAGCTGAAGCCATTTGTTTGGTCTCAGACACAGACTGATACATTCCGGGTACTTCCGTTAGAGGCTGGCTAATCTATTGAGCTATACACACATACCGATGTGGCCTTAGAGTGGTCGCTTTACCATCAGTGCTGTTAAATCTTATTTTTGGCTGCATGCTGAAGTCATCCAATGAGAACGCTTCTGTGAGCAGGCCAGGCTTACGCTCTCTAAGGTTACAGGGCTGACAGCCCCGATTCCGCTGTGCCGTGCTGATCTCGGCCCAGATTACAGAGTCACGGTGCAGATCGCAGACGTTAGATTGGATATGACAGACTTCCACAGGCCCCGCTTAAGTGAATACAAGGCAGCTGACTGCCAGATAACGGCATTACCAACAGAGAGAGAGAGAGGCCGTCTCATTGGGCCCTTTAGTTTGAGGCTGACAGGCCCCAGCACTGTACGAGGTGTCCGTGGGGGACTTCCTGGAGGACAGCGGCCCGCTGCTCTTGGCTCAACAGCGGCAAAAGGGCCCGGTAAAATGAAAGTGCCGGTGTCATTTCCGTCATGAAGGTGTCACCAGGTCCCTCGCTGCACAGGCTGCCTCTCTCGCGTTTGTCTGTCATGTCAGCGAATTTCTGTTCCCTGCTCTGAAACTTCTGCTTCTCTCTCTTTCTCTCTCTCTCTCTCTCTCTCTCTCTTCTTTTCCCCTTCTCATTCTCTCAAGATCAAAACCTGGAGAGGATAGTACCAGGTACTGTGCTTCCGTACTTTATTCGTGCTGTTCCTCACTTCATCCTTGCACCACCCCTCCCCTCCAGACTGCCCCCCCCCACCTCCCTTTCCTTTGCTGCCCATCTGTCAGACCCAGAAAGCCATCTCACTGCTTAACCTCTCTGACAGCATTGCTCACCTGTCTGATCTTGAAGTGAGAACATAGAAAGAGACAAACTCCATAGTACATAATATAGGGGGAGGAGGGGCACAAGTCAGCGTGCAAAACAGGAGGATCCACAAACCCCTGTAAGGCTGCAGGACTGTGAACTTTTCAAATGATTGATAGCAAGTATAATTTCCCAGCATGCAGTGTTCTTAACATGTGACTCTAGATTTTTCTCCAGTGTGTATGTAAATCCAGCACATAAATTGAATATTAATGTTTCTCAGCTGGACAGTACTGTGGTTATGATATATACAGTGTTTTTCTCCCAATTAATGTCTCTTTATACTGTCTTTAATTCTCTGAATTAGATTTAAAAAGCAATTATTAACACAGTTAATCTTTTTAATTAAGTAGTATATTTCAATCACCCTTTTTAAAACTGCATGTCATTCCTTACTGATACTTTTTAATATGCCTGCTAAATTAAACATACATTAGAGTCCTGTGTTGTATTGTAAGTAATATCACAGCATTATCTCATTGCCCAGATGCATCGTCTGCACTAGCCCAGGCAGAAATGGGATCTACGTCTGCAGTCATTTAAAGAATCTCGCTTTACCGGCGTTTTGTTCGACACCGTTTGCCGCGCCTCATTCCCTCCCCGTTCCTGCCCTCCGTGTTTGTCGCTCGCTCGCTCTGCCGCGTCCTTCACAAAGATGAGTTCTGAGCATTTTAATTTTCTTTCCCAAATCTCCCTCCTCCGGGGCCGTAATCGCAGAGAGGATAGGATATAAAGGTAACAGCTCCCGGGTCCCAGGGAGACCGTCAGTAGCAGCCGCTCTCTCCGCTATCTGTCTTGAAGCACGGCGTGAACGTGTCTGTTCAGTCTCTCAATGTTTTGTTGTTTTTCTTTCCTGGTACCTCATTCTTGTCCGTCCGAATTAATCAGACACACACGGCTCTTTGTTTCTTTCTTTCTTGCTTTTTGTTTTGATTTCATTTAATTTGCTTTCGTCTGGTCTTTGGGACCTGTTGGTCTTGGCCCATGCACTTGCGGCCTGAATCCTCATGTATGTTAGGCTAGATGTGGGGCTGCTGTAGTTATTTCTTGGGCTTGGCTTAAGTTGTAAAGAGGAATGTCTATGTTCTGCATAAAGTATAGAGCTGGAGGCAAGCAGAAAGCCATCCTATACTTTGTGCTTGTATCTGAAATGTGCTGCGACTCCACATGGATGTGTGGCTGCTTCGAGCCCAGAAAGGGGCCTTTTCTCTTCTCCTTATTTATTTAATCATATGGACCTGAATGCTTACGTGTCTCCCTCGGTACGACTCAATGAGGCCTGTCAGCAGTCTGACCCAGCAGAAGAACTGGAAAGTTCTGGAAAGGAACGAGACTTGCCTGTTTATTTTAAATTTGTCCACGGTGACAGTGAAGAAAATTATTTCAATTATAAATAAAAACAGGCTTGTTGAAAGTGGTCCACATTCATGTGAACTTGCAGTATCTGTGCTTTTCTCAAGGCCTGTCAGTTGTTCTGTCAGTATATGTTCACCAAACACTGTTATTTTTGATATATGCTTTTGGTTTTCGTTTGGTTGTTTCATTTGAATGCAATGGTATTCTTTGAAACCCCTCCCCTTTTGCTCTGCCTCTTTCTTATTGGTTCCCACGTTTGACTGACTTCTTTGTCTCGACAGAGGGCTGCCCCGGTTTGTGCAACAACAATGGGAGATGCACCTTGGACCAGAATGGCTGGCACTGCCTCTGCCAGTCTGGGTGGCGGGGGGCAGGGTGCGATGTCGCCATGGAGACCCTCTGTACGGACGGCAAGGACAACGAGGGAGGTGAGATGGAGGGAGTGTTCCTCTGGGGGGCAGGGCTGAAGTGCAGGTTGGTTCCACTATGCTGGTGAATGTTTGATGGAACAGTGTTAGCCCATGGGAGAGCATTAGCGGATGGAACAGTGTTAGCCCATGGGAGAGTGGTAGCCCATAGAACAGTGTTAGCCTATGGGAGAATGGTAGCCCATAGAACAGTGTTAGCCCATGGGAGAGTGGTAGCCCATAGAACAGTGTTAGCCTATGGGAGAATGGTAGCCCATAGAACAGTGTTAGTTTATGGGAGAATGGTAGCCCATAGAACAGTGTTAGTCCATGGGAGAGTGGTAGCCCATAGAACAGAGTTATCCCACGGAACATTGTTAGCCCTTTAGAGAGTGGTAGCCCACGGAAGAGTCTTGAGTCATGGTCTGATCTCTAACCTCTAGCAGGGTCAGGGTAGGCTGGGGCACCCCTGCTAAAGCCTGCTTCTTTCCACCCCGAAATAATGAAAAAATCCACCAGTCTCATATTGCATCCTGTGGTGTTGAGTTTTCCCTGTCTTCCACCAATTCGGACCCTTTGTGGTAGAGACCCCCCCCCCCCCCCCCCCCCCCCCCCCCCCCCCCCCCCCCCCCCCCCCCCCCCCCAGCACAAACGCACTCACGCCCTGTCCTTCCACATTACACTCTAGTTCTCGCTTGTCTGGCAGCACCGTGGTGCTCAGTGGCATGATGGATGTTGGGGGCAGAAAGCAGGGGGAGGGGGTATTTCTGAAGCAGCGTTCTGCTCTGAAGGAGATGTCAGCTCTTGTATCTTTTTTGGCTGCGGAGGGCCCCGCCGTACATTTTCCTGAAGGATGCTGGGATTGCACTCCCCGCACGCAAACGTGAGGCACACCCAGGCAAGCAGCGCTCATGTGAGAGCAGCCATCCTTCACAAGCTGCTCAGTCCTACCAGAGACGTACCCAGAAATCCACTCCCAGTCTCCCTGTGTTACGGAGATGTTTCAACCAAGTTTGTGTAAAGGCCTACAGATTCGGCCCCCTCCCCCATCACACGCAGTGAAAATTAGATTTGCAGTCCTCCTCAATGCAAATGGAACAGCCCTGTAAAAAACCTGTGTCCCGCGGATGGGGATGTCATTCGCATGCCGCTTTATAAACCTCCCTCCCAGACAAGCACTGGGTTTTTATAAACTAACCAAGACGAAAGGCTCCATTTTACGAGGTATCCAATGGATTTTTACTGGGGGGGAAGCAAAATGATTCTACCACAAATATTTCTCCGGTGATGAAAGCCTGTAGGTGGTCGAAACATTTGCTACATTAGCACTTTTTTTCCCAGTGAACAGCATCATAAATAAATGATTTTGTAATCTGTTCTGAGTTTTTTTTAACGGGCCTACATTTCATTTAAGTGACCGAAAATATCTTTTCACGATGGGCGCTTAGATCTTTCTAGATGGCACTGCTGGAGGCAGTGAAGGTAGCCTCACTGGGCGCTGAGGCGGACCAGCCTGCCTCACAGGCTGAACATCGGGCATCTCCATGCTGGAGGTCAGCTGCTCTGAAACAAACCTGATGTTCTTTGTCCCTCTGCCCATTCAAGCTCCTGCAGTAATCTGTCTGACAGCTACTTGGGAAAGTTTCAGGCCAGGTGCAAGGGCGCGTCCTCACCAGCAGGTGTCCTCACTATTGCAGACGGCCTGGTGGACTGCATGGATCCCGACTGTTGTCTGCAGAGCTCGTGTCGCAGCCAGACCTACTGCCAGGGGTCTCCTGAACCCGCTGAGCTGCTCGCCCAGGCCCAGCCCTCGCTGACTCCCCAGGCCGCCCGCTCCTTCTACCAACGTGTCAGCTTCCTACTGGGGCCTGATGGCAGTCATGTGATCCCCGGAGAGAACCCCTTCAACCAAAGGTACGGACTACACCTCCCGCCTGATTATGCATGGCTAACATGCTGTTGTACCTCTTCGCACACCATAAATTTAAGTGCTTAAGGATTCCACAGAGGGACGATCCCAGGACTTGAATAGTGAGCTTTCAGGTTACAGTTCTGTGGTCTATTCCTAACCATGTGTTTTTAAATCCAAATCGTTTCTGTAAAATTCAGTGAAGTCAATAGGACTGTGTTTCCCAACCTTGTCTCCGGGGACCCGCAGACGGTCCACGTTTTTGCTTCCTCCCAGCTCCACAAAAACATGAACCATCTTAGAGTCCTCGATGACCAGGTTGGGAACCACCTCAATAAGAAACATTTTCTTCAGTGTATTTCACTGGTCACCGATACATTTCCGTTCAGTATTGTTCTCTGTGTCTCAGAGAACCTGATGTTATATAGGGGCCGCTGTGCGCTAGGGTACTATAGCATGATCGACAATGTCGCGAAAACCAGAATTATTAAGTTTACAGACAATGCGGTGCGGTTCTGTGATGGAATGGTAAGTGTAGGAGTGTGTGAGCACCCCAGTCACGTCCTTCCTGTAATCCAATCAGAGGTCATTCTCTCGCTATTTTTGAGAGTGGGACTTGGGAAAAGTGGTCATCTAATAGTATTGTAGACACTGGGGAAATGTGGCAGGCTTTTTCTGGTCGTTATGCAGTGTAATGTTCCACCGACAAGGTCAGAAAGTGCCAGTGCGACTACACTCACGTCTTACCTTGTCGCTGCAGTGCGCTTCATTAGAACTTCGCAGGCTCATCTCTACCGTGCTTTTTGTATTAGGCTCGTCTTGTTTCCATCAGTCCGTTAGCCAAATTCATCTTCGTCTTGTTTTTCTAGCTGTTCACAATCTCATCTTTGTTTTGTTTTCTTGCAGACGTCTGTTTTGCTTTGTTTTCCGCTCGGTGCTCACCAGCTGGCCCCTCTTGTTTTTGTTAGCCGTTTGTGGACTCACGTCCGTTTGGTTTTTGTTTTTGTTAGCTGTTTGCGGACTCGTCTGTTTGATTTTCGTTTTTGTTAGCTGTTTGCAGGCTGACCTCATTGCTGTCTGCTGCTTGTGTTCTTTTCTGTGGCTGCCTTGGGAGCTCGGTTTCACCCAGTGGAAAAATGGACATAATCATTCCGTGTGATGGTGTATCGACGCAGCCGCAGTACCAACACGCCAGTGTGCACCAGCCGGCTCTTTTCGCTATTTGTTTAGGCACTCGTCTCCCTAATCAGCACCAACCTCCAACGCTACGCTCGGTGAGCAAATTCACAGAGCAGTTGTAAAATCTTCCCCCAACTTAAAAAGCTTTTGCAGCAGCGCCGAAGGCCAGCTGTATCCAAGCCCACAATCCCGCCCCCCCCCCCACACACCCCACCACTGCCTCACTTCTTGAGGAGCATGATTCTGCTTATCTTCAAACAGAAGCGGAATGAGTGTGTAATTAACACCTTGGCCTAAGTGCATGAGAATGTTTCACATCAGAAACATGAGAGATGGCCACATACGTGTTATGCAGTGTGCAAAGGCTGTCGGGGAGATAGCAGAAGCCAGGACGGGACACGTGTGCCCCACCCAGCCCCCCCCCCCAGCTCACCAAATAGCATGCCGTAATCTGCTGCTAAGTATCAACTTCCACTGTAAAGGCCACTCGCCTCTTTGCACTGCTAACCCCCCGTTCCTGAGATTTGAGGCCTGCAAACGATGTCTTTTGGGAGCGTCCGCTTGGCCCAAGTAGCCACGTTGAGATGGAGACCAGTGGCTGTGGGGCAGAGACACCCCTGTCACGCCAGAGCAGGAGACCGCCGGGCTGAAACATTCATATAAAACTGGGCCATGCGTCCTGAGACACGAGGCACCGCTGGGCCCTGTGGTCCTGGAAAGGTCTCTGAACAGGGCCTCTGTCCTCTCCTGGTTCAGCATTACTACAGGACGCTCTCAGCCTATCCTGTCCTGGATCAGCATTGCAACGGAACGCTTTCTGTCTGTCCTGATGTGTAAATTCATGTAGAAACATGTTGAACGGCCTGGAATCCGTTTATTCAGGGGGCCTAAATGAGTTTTAAGGTGCACACCCTGTTTATTCTGGTGCCATCAAGACAAACCTGAAAAAATTACATGTATGGTCCTTCAGAGCAAAATATACGTCAATCACATGAAGGAGCTGTTCTTTGGACAAGAATTTCTTCTTCTGAATGGATGAACAATGCTCCTTCCTGAAATGGCAACCTGTCTGTTCAGCCTGGGGTGCTGTGTGACCCCCCCCCCCCCCCCCAGCTGTATGCAGCGTGCATTGGTACGGCGCCTCACACCGCCGTCTCTCTCAGGAGCTGTAAATGGCTGCACACCTCTGCTGGAGTTTTTCTTCTCCTCTCTCTCCAGCGCCTCTTGATTCATCGGCGGTTCTTGTTTTTATTCCTCTCGCGGTGGGCGTAGACGGGCCAGCCAGCACAGCGTGTGCCTTTACATCTTCCTCCAGAGCGCCATCGCCCGCAGGCTAGGCCGACAACAAACGGCCGTCCTTTCAGAGCACAAATTTATTTTGTTAGCGGCATGTTTTCGTTTTTCTGGCTGTACGCGGGGATCAGCAGATCACGGCTGTGAGTTTCTCTGAGACCCTGAAAGCACAATCCATAGAGGATTGGAGGGCACAGTGATGGTAACACGCTGAGGGTCCATTAAGGCCAGGCTGGGTCACATGCTACGGTGGCTAAGAGTGTCCATACAGAGCCTCCGGTCTGCTGACGGTGACGGATGTCAAGCTGAAATGCTACAGGCAGTCTGTGGCAGCGTGGGGGAAGGCCACTGTCCGAAACCGTCGATCGCTTTGCTCCCTGCTTTACGGTCAGTTTGTTAGCAGGTTGAGTCTCCCTTTGGGTGTCAGTGGGTGAGTTGAGGCACGTGCATCCGGCGAAGCCGAGGACTGATGTATGTTACAGTATCTCACCAGCCAAGGATCAATCGCAAGTCAGCAGGGAGCCGGCGGCCGATGTCATCTGAGAGTGCCGTCGTTCTCGGTGCACTGTGTGTGGATTAAAGATGGGGGCTCAGAGCACCAGGGTAGCCAAAAGAATTTGTCCTTGTGTGCCGGTGGCTGTGTCTGCATGCCTGCGTGTGAGTCCGCATGATTCCCGTATGCGCTGGAAGTGTTTCCGCTAAAGCAGCTGTGTGTAACACCCCTGCTGACCTATAGGGAGTGGATACTAACAGTTGGGGTGGCTTCAATGTCTCTGCCCCTCCCTCAGCCTGGTGTCCATCATCCGAGGTCAGGTGCTGACAGCAGATGGGACTCCGCTCATCGGAGTCAATGTCTCCTTCCTGCATTACCCGGAGCACGGATACAGTATCACGCGACAGGACGGCATGTATGTACCGCCCACCGCACACGCACACGCACACACACACATACACGCCTGTGGCTCTGTACCCGATATTACATGGTATCCCCACACTCCACTGACCTCACCGGACAAACACTATGGCCCCCACCTCTCCCATGCCGTATGTGCCGCCTATAGGCTGAATCTGGCATCCCCAGCCCCTCTTCCCCACGGTCTCCCCGACGCCAGGGGGCTGTCCCTGCCCACATGGCATCCCGAAACGCGCGTGTCACCGCTGCGATGGTGGACGTGTATCCCGCGGCCCAGTTACAAGTGCTCCCAAAATGGGGTAACCCGATTCCTTCATTATCAGCGTGCTTAATGCACGGACGCGACGCCGTCCCCCACCCCCCCCGCAACCGTCGCATTTGGGCCGAGAGAAATGCAGGCTTAAAATGACCCGTTTAAAAATTCATTGAATTTACAAGGACGACATCAATCAGCAGACGAGGCGCTTGGTTCTTGTTGCGGAAGCTGCGCTGTGGTTTCGCACAGAGCCTCATTTGGACCACGGCGCTCCAGAACATTCCTGCGGAGTGTAAGCGGAGCTGCCGGCGCTCCTGCAGTGATGGGTGGGGGTGTGGAGAAGGTAAACAAGGGTGCGTGGGGTGCGTGCTGACCTGTGCTCCGGACGCGCTGAGGCCCACTGCCCGGCAACTGGTGCCTAATTGCCTTGGCGCGGGTGTGCCGCAGCGGTGGCTAAGCAGATGGCGAGATGGACTGGCATCCAGTCCGGTGCGAGCTTGCGGCTGCAGAGGCGTGTCATGTCCGAGCTTATGCCGAGCCCTCCAGATGTTTCATCCCCAAAGGCTTTCTTTGATGGAAGATGTAGGGAATGTGTCCAGATAACCGTCCCCAAGCCGCATCCTGTGTCCAGCGTGGGGTGGACGGGGGGGGGGCAGCTGGCTCGCTCTCAGAGCCTGAGAATTACAGATGTGTGCTTCTGGCTGAACAGGAAAACAAACAGAATCACACTAAACAGAACGCCTCTCGGGACATCTCGCAGAATTCCTGTCTGCACGTCATCGATCTCACAGAACGAGTGTTTACAGGTTCGACCTGCTGGCCAATGGCGGCGCCTCGCTGACGCTGAGCTTCGAGCGTGCCCCGTTCCTGCCACAGAGGCGCACCGTGTGGATCCCTTGGGGCGTCTTCCATGTCATGGACACCCTGGTGATGAAGCGTGAGGAGAACGACATCCCCAGCTGCGATCTGAGCGGCTTCGTCACGCCCAGCCCCCTCGTTGTGGCCTCGCCTCTCTCCACCTTCCACAGGTCGTCTCCCGAGGACAACCCCTTCCTCCCGGAGACGCAGGTGAGATTAGAGCACATGAATCCCAGGATTTGGGAAGTTCAACAGTAAATTCCCTGATAGATTTCCCTGGACGACTGTGGTGTCCAGAATGGTGCCCCCTTCAGGTCAACTCATAAACAGGCACCTCTCAAGTACCCATTCATATTTCAGTAATTAATCTCAAGCATGTGGGAAGTGGTTTCAGTGTTGTTATGTGGCCACCACCAGCCAAACCAGTACCATCGGCATCATGAACACTGTGCTCCTGTCAAAATTACAAAAATATTCCCACTGCTTTCCTGTAAAGCCGAAGTAATCCGTTCTTGTTTAATTTCTTTTTTGTGCATGAAATGTTTGTATAATTCCCAGGTGACAGCAGTTTGGTCGTCTCTGTAATGTGGGCTTGCTGTACGCCAGAGCAAGCGTAACTGCCACTGTGTTTGGGTCGGGTTCGTGTCACAGAAACGCGGCCTGGAATGCACACGTTTATTTCGAGGTGTCGCTGCCGTCCTGCGGTACGTCAGCAGGCTGGTGCGTCTCGGGATTTTACTACCTGGGGCGGCCTGTCAGGATTTCACAGTCGCTGCTCATAAATATTCAGAATCCTCTGTACCTGGTGGGCGGATGCAGATGTGAGCCGTGGACCCGCCTGCCCCCCCCCCTCCCCCGCAGGCCCTCCCGCCCACCTGCCGGCCCTTCCTGCTCTCAGGTGTCCAAGTTCCCCATTGTTTTGTGGCGCCCATTAGACAAAGGAGGATAGGAGGATGAAGCACTTATGGAAATCTGTTTGTGGACGTTAAAGGTAATGGTACTTCTGTAAACGGAGACCAGAGCATGGGAAGGGGTCGGGGGCCTGTCGGACCACGTGCCGCCCCCAGGGGGAGAGAGGTGCAGGGGTGACAGGTGTGCCCACAAGACGAGGGCGCTGCACCACGTTTGATTGTGAGGGTCTTCCGCTCCGCTGAATGGTTCTTTAATTGGAAAGCGCCCCCCCCCCCGCCTCCTCTGTCAGAGTAAGATAAACATCGGGGTTTGTCAGGGAATGCCTGCAAGCACGCGGCCTTCTGCTGCCTTCACCGACACCCCGCCCCAGCCCGCCTCCTCCTCCTCCTGTAGAATCACATGTCCCCTTGCCACAGGGTGTTTTGCCCGGTGCGGGGGGGGGGGGGGGGGGGGTTATGGGCTATTTAGCAGACACTTCAGGAATAGATGGAGAGAGACAAACAGTGCATTTAACTGTGCTGCCGTGGTGCAGCTTTGCCTGAGCATATGGCTCCGCATCCACCTCTAAAGGGGACTGACCCCTGGGGCTCCGCATCCACCTCTAAAGGGGACTGACCCCTGGGGCTCCGCATCCACCTCTAAAGGGGACTGACCCCTGGGGCTCCGCATCCACCTCTAAAGGGGACTGACCCCTGGGGCTCCGCCGGTGCCATCCACCCTTGATGGGGGTGTGTGTGCTGTCCCGAGCGTGCCATCCGTTGGCAGGGGTGTGCCGTCCCGTGCGCATCGCCTGCCGATGTGGGTGTGCTGTCCTGAGCATCGTCACCCATTGGCGAGGGGGGAGCCGTCCACAAGGTGTAGCCCGTCAGCAGGGGTGTGCTGTCCCTAGTGCGTTGCCCGCCGGAGAGTGTGTGCTGTCCCGAGTGTGTCGCCTATCAGTGGGGGTGTGCCATCCCTGGCACGTCACCCGCCGGCAGGGATGTGCCATCGGGGGGTGCCGCCTCAAGTGCGTCGCCTGTCCAAAACTCTAGCCCAAAACTCCATTGGAAAACTAATATACATTTGCTGTTTTAAATATATATTTGTATATTCTTTTTTCTTTGAAAGAGAAAATGAGAGACTGATGTCTGTGGGACATTATTTATATTTAAATATGTGTGTTGGAGGCATGGTAATATTCCCTGGCATTAAGAGCCATGGTACACGGCTTATTTTATTTAATTTTCACACTGAAATAATGTAAATTAGAGCAGGGGCCCCCAGGTGTGTCACACTGATGTGAGCTGGGGGGGGTTCAGATGCTGATTTCCCTGTGCTCTGTGGGCGGTCACTACTCCAGCCTGAATCACCTTCCCGTGTCTTGTGGACAGGTCCTGCAGGAGGAGACGGCCATCCCGGGAAGTGACCTCCACCTCTTCTACCTGAGCTCACGGGCGGCGGGCTACAAGGCCGTCCTGAAGGTGACCATGACCCAGGCCACCATCCCCTTCAACCTGATGAAGGTGCATCTGCTGGTGGCTGTGGTGGGCAGGCTTTTCCAGAAGTGGTTTCCCGCCTCCCCCAATCTGTCCTACACGTACATCTGGGACAAGACTGATGCTTACAACCAGAAGGTCTACGGCCTGTCGGAGGCCGTGGGTGAGTCCCCGTGTCGTCCCGCAGTCCTCCCAGGCGGCCACGAGCACAGGTGCCAGCCAGAAAAACCCCAGAATTATAATATATTTGCATGTATTTTTCTTATAATTCATTGGGCAGATGCTTATGTCCAGAGTGACTTTCAGGTTAGGAGCAGACAGGAGCAGGAGGTGCAAGAAAATGTCATCAGTCAGGTCCTATGCAGAGACGGGTAAACAAACCCAGCCAGTAATTAGTACAGAAGGAGAGAGAGACGGATACTGTACAAGCTGATGCTTCTCTCGGTTTGTACCGTTACGCCATGCAGGTTAGCTGGACACACATTCAGAGCTGTCAGAGAGGTGGCTTGTGGGTATTTTCTTGAAGCCCCCCACCCCCCCCAAACGGCCTATTCTTGACGCCTTGCGAGTCGCTGCTGGCAGCCCGCGACGCTAATGGGCCTCAGCGAGGAGCAGTCGGCTCTGTTTGTTCCCATATCTTCATGGCCCCCGTCCCCACGCTGACAGAGCACTCTCACTAATTCCGACCCCTACATTTTTCCCAGAATGCAATGCACCCGGTTCAGCAATCTGACGGCCGTTTCGCTCCTAACCCAAGGTTGTCTCGGCTAAACGTTTCTGACAGTAGACAGCCTAAGGTGGTATTTTTACTCGGGGGGTCGTCAGGAAGACAATGCCTGTGTGCTCCCCCCTTTAAAATAAACGCGGAGTAGGCGAGCATGAGGGCCGCAAGGTTGGGGTCCTTTTTACTCACTCCCACCCGGAAGGGGAAAATAGCTGTGGAAAGCAGCTTTTTAAGATGGCAGATTGTGTGCTGATTGGAAGCGGGCCTCTTCTTCAGGCAAGGTGAGCGCGTAGCTCTTCACGTGGCCTTTGCACCGTGTTATTTCCGGATGCCTTACACGAGGAATTCTCAATCCCGCCGAATCCCAGCGAGGATATTGATTGTCCTGGCGCGTCGGGCCGTCCTCCTAATGCTGGCGTCTGCAAACGGACGCGCTTTTAAAAAACGAATCGCCGCCAGCGAAAGGGGGGGGGGGGGCAAAGTCACCCCTGTGTCGGCATGCAGAGTCTCAATGGGGTAAACACACAGGCACCTCACCCCCCCCTCCCGTGCCATTGCAGTGTCGGTCGGCTTCGAGTACGAGTCCTGCCTGGATCTGATCCTCTGGGAGAAGCGGACGGCCGTCCTGCAGGGCTACGAACTGGACGCCTCCAGCATGGGAGGGTGGACACTGGACAACCACCACATGCTGGACGTGCAGAACGGTGAGCGGCGCGCTCGCACATATTAATCTTGATTAAAATTATAATAACAGCAATAAAAACACCAGCGGAAGTGACAAACGGCACCGATGTCTATACCGGATTTAAAAATAAGATGGTAAGAAAAATGTGGTCTGCAGGCATATTTCATCTTTATTGAATGAATAAGCATTAATAATTGAATGCTGAGCGGCTGACAGAATGGGGCGTGCCGTAACGCTCACTGCACCATGATCACAGTACGTCATGTGCAGTGTGTAGAGAGGGTGTCAGCAGACTGGCCACCTGCAAGCTGTGGACAGCCAGTTGCCACGGGAACACTGCGTTCAGGACGCCACTGTGACGGGATTGTGACAGGTGGGGGCTCCTCAAAGCCACGGGTGTCTAATTGAATAAACAAAATGATTGGTGCTTAATGACAGACCGTGTGAGGCGGTACAAACGGATTGGTAATGGGTGACAGCACCAGTGACCGGTGACAGCAGCAGAAGCCCCTGACTGAAGCCCGGAAATATCCTAATCGGCAGCTTCCGAGGAATTCGGTTTCCGTGGGTATGCGGGGGGCTGTTCTGCACGTGCCGATTGGTGGGATCCGCGACATGTCCGTCACGTGACCCGCCCTCCCCCCCTTTCTGTTCTACTTTTCCTCTAGAAGCCGCAACCTGACCGATCTAACAGAGACATAAATCTGCGCGGTCAGCCACGGAGGTCCTCAAGCAGTAAACCCCCCCCACCCCACACCCGGACCTCCCCGGCTTAGTGCCAGTTGTCTCCGGGATTTTGGGATCCTTTAATCTCCAGAGCACCCCCCCCCCCCCACAATAAATAACTCTCACGGAGCTACACCTCAGTGACATCTGCGGCCCTCAGAGCAGGTCCATCCCTCAGCCTGCAGTGTCCCAGCAGGCTGTGCGTAACACGGTAATCGCTCCTCACTGCCAGCTCCCTGCTGCTCTCTCCCGCTCGGACCCAGGACCGCAGGGCTGAATATATATTTCCTTTCTATATATATTTTATCATTTTATCATAATGTATTTTCTACCATATGTATAGTAGTGAAAAAGTTTTCATTAGGAACACTGAAATCCTGCCCATAAAATAAAGTTATTAATTTTATTATTAATATCTGGGTCATTTTATGTTATCTGTTAAAAAAAGAAAAATCCAAATACGATTTGAAATTCACCGGATACATCAAACCGGGGCCCCCGTGGGAAAAAGGCGAAATAGGAAATTGGAATGAATGAGTGGCTGATAGGGTTAATGTCATGGTAATTATGGTGAGCGCGCGATGAGAGCGCGGTGAGAGCGCGGTGAGAGCGCTGCAGAGCTGACCTAAAAAGCCAGCCGTGAAGATTCCCTCTGTGGGTGCGTTAATGGTGGGAGCCGCTCGCTGGCTGGCGGCCGTGTGCCGTGCCGGGTTTACGGGAGTGCCCGCGTTCGGGGACCGCCGTCACGGGACCGGCGCAGGTCGGTGGCATCATCGTCAGGCCCACGGCAGCGGCCGGCTGGCTCGCTCGTTTGTATGCTAATGAGCACCTGTTCATTTGCATCACATGACCTTCATCGGAGAGCCGTCACCTGATCCCAGCTCTCTGTCCTTTGGCTGGGGCAAATGGACACGCGTTCCGTGATCTTTGCCAGCAGGCCTCCTGGTGGGTTTTTTTTTTCCCCCGTCATCCCTCCCTTGGAGTAGATGCCAAGCTTGTGGTCGGTGCCAGCCTCATGTGACACACCTGCTGTCCTCCAGGGGGCGCCAGGGCAGGGAAAAGCAGCTGTCTTCCCGCCTATCACCCACCAGGGGCGGCCGGTCTCATGTCAGACCTTCAGCTGAGTCCTCCCAGAACCAGGATCTCAGTATCCAGCAGGATAAGGGTCAACCCCCCCCCCCACCCCACCATGCAGCTGAACTCCTCCCAAGCATTCTGATGTCAGGCCAGCCCCCGCCCCGCGCCCCCCTCCTTTCATGTCCCCTTATCAGAGGGGCTCAGAGACAGCGTGCCATTGGCGGAAGGCCCCGATAATGACAAACGCAGCAGGTGTCCCCAGACGCCCCAAGCGGAGTCCCTGAGAGCCGGGCCTGTGAAGGGGCCCCGATCTGCCGGCTTTTCCCCGCCCGACCCCTCAAGCCCCCTCCATGCCTGCGTTCCTTTCATTCCCTCCCCATCCTCCTTTGCGGTGGAAAAGGTGCAGTTAGCAGACACCGGGCTGCTGCGTCCTGCGTCCCAGAGATTATCCGAGACTTCAGGGTGGTGGGGGAGGGGGGGGGATTCGATATTTGCGTGAGGCTCCTTCAAACTCCAGTTCCGGCTTTTTACTGGGGCCCCCAGGGGGGAGTGTTTGTTCATTATTTAAATCAGATTTAAGAAAGTGCTCGCTATTTCATGAAATATTTATGGCAGATGTACTTAGAGCAACGTTAGGTATGATAAGGGAAAGGGGGGGGGGGTGTGCAGGGGGAAGCGGGCCTCACTGTCACCCCACAACAGCGGCACACGCATATCGACGCTCTTGTAGGGTCACATGACCCCCTGGTCTGCCGCCCGTGCCGGGCCAGCACACCAGCTACAGCCCGCAGGAGCAGGAGGGAATCCCACAGGCGCAAGACGCCTGCTGAGTCGGTGAGCCTCTTCCTTTCCGCCATCTTTGCTTTATTTAAATTCCTCCCCTGCACACTATCTCAGCTCCAAAATGGCAGCTCCCTCCCCCTTCAAACAGACACCTCCCCCAGTGACACGTGAAGGGGTGCGCTGTCCCGTCCCGGCACCCCGCGCTGCTGTCGCTTCACTCTCGTTGCGCTGGCGTACTCCCCAACACGGGCTGGACACGGTAGCGCACCCCCGCCCCACCCATCAGATGGAAGACACCCACAAACAGAGAATCGATCGGACAAGGCGGGGGGTGTCGCACAGGAAGTGGAGGGGGATAAGGTGATAGGGCAGGTTTGCTGGCGTCGGTGCCGCCATTGATCTAGGTAGTAATTAGCACGGAGTTAGCGTCTCAGATACCAACATGTTGCTCAGTGTGAATAATTTAACACTCTCAGCATGTAGCTGTCCTTTGAAGTCCCCTCTTTGATGCCCCTACCCCCACTCCCGCCCCACCCAAAAAAAAAAAAAAAAACTTCCTTTTTGCGGTGGTACTTTAGTGTTTATCTGTAATGACTTTGGCTGTTCGGACCGCCCCGCGAAGGGGACGGTCATCGGAGGGGGTGACAATGGCTCGCAAGGCCGCCGCCGCGACCCAGATACCAAAAAAAAAATGCCTGTTTTTCGTAGGTGTGCTAAAAAATGAATGCGCTAAGGTACCATCTGCCGCTGCCTGTGACTGTCAGGCTGTTTTTGGGGTTTTTGGGTGACGGCTGTTGTGAGCGCTGTCATTTGTGAAATATTCTGTCTCTGGCGTTTTTGCACAAAAAAGAAAATAAAAACAATTATTTCCACACCAGTGAAAAATAATCAAATTGTACAGAGGCTCTAATTTCTGTGCAAACCAGTGGACTGATGTGGAAAATTATTTTGAAAAAAAAGTTGAACATATGCTATTTATGCTGTAAATGGTTTCTCTTGTTTACAGTTTGTATTTTATGGTTTACATTACTAATACTATATTTTTAATGTTTCATTTAAGCTTAATTATTAAAATTCTTTTTAGCTTTTAGCTGTAACTTAAAGGCGTAGAAACATATATGTTTTTATTGTGACAAAAAAAATAATTATCATTATGCTTATTAAATATGCAATTTAATATTTAATAATTATTTAGTTGTCAGTCATTCGTTTCTTAGTTTTGCCTAAAATGAATGTTTATTGGAAGAATAGATTTTTTATATCTTAGAGCTGCGCAGCTGAAATTTAAGCTTTCATTTTTATTCACAGTTTCCCTCTGTGGGGGAAAAGTGAGACACGTTCGGATGCTGTTTTTTTCTGTTCCTGCGTTCGATTTTTTAGCGGAATCTACCGGAATACATAAATAAATATAGAAAGAATACGTGTGTACACACACGTCCCATATTGTATATTAATATTATGCCGTATTGCCTCCAACTCAAAGGGATAAAAACAGAATTAATGTGATGTAAATGTGAAATTATTATTTTTAAAGAAAAGCTCACACATTCGAAATCATGTCTAGATCATTATAAAGAAATTACAAAAAATAGTATCCACCACACTTACCAACAGCTCTGAATTATCTGGATAATAAGACAGCGATTTTTCTGTAATTGATAATTACACTTGAGCCTAGATATAATTACAAATGCAATTTTAACATTATGCTGTTTTTGTTCTGAATTACTAAAAGGCACCGCAGGTTTGCGCCTGTGGGCCTCTTCGATCGTGGTGATGCAGCTTATCGACACCTGAGTAAGAACAGGCATCAGTCGCCTTATCGCTCCCATTGTTCACTCGCACGCCACTTTTTTTCCTCGCCATTTCTGGATTGTTGTGTGTGCTTCGGGAGATAAGCAAAACCAAAGCCATAAACAGCCCGACGCCAGGAATTAGCAATAAAAATGCGTGTTATGGATTTGCGGGAAAGTACACCCTTTTAATTAGTTATTTATGATGTAGTGAAGTCCTGTCACCGTGTCCTCGAGCGGGCTGTGTTCAGGGCGCGTGCCTCTCTCGCTTGCTCGCGCTCGCCGTCCCTCCGAAAACCCGTGGCTCGCGGCAGCCGGCGGCCCCCGTGAAAGCGAGGAGGTCGCAGCTCGGATTATGCGGGGGATGCGAGTTAATTTGATTTGGGACTCCGTGACACATGATTGTCGCAGAAACTCCGGCCTATTAATTCATAGAGCGAAGTCGCGGCCCTAAGGTTGCGAGCTCGGGACCCACCGAAAAGGTTTCTTTCGTTTGTTTAGCCTGTATATCATCCGGCTTTCTGAACGTATTAGTGGGTCACTTTGAACAAATAAGGTCTGTAGATCACTGCGGGAATCCCATTCTATGAATGTGATAAGTAAAAACATTAGATTATTATTCTGCTGCGCAAGTTATTCGAAGCGACTCCTGCGGACTGGAGACGTAAAGAATGTTAACACGCTCGAGCGGCTTGATGTTACATCGTTCACAGTAGCCTACACGTTTGTTTCCGTGGTCTTGAGGATAAGAGCGCATGCCCTCCTGGGAGCGGAAGCGCCCCAGTGTGCCCCATTCACCCTGGAAGGTGGCGCTGGCTGTGATCGCAGTGAGGCGGCCGTCTCCGCAGCCACAGCCGACTCGGAAACACAGCGGCTCTCGCTTTGTGTTCACACTTTAGTAATGCTCAGCGTGTCCTGCGTTAGCTTTCACGTAAAGCTTCATGTAAGCATATTTAAAAATTAAACGTCATTTAAATATAACTGCTACTACCGTCAGCCTGCTACCATGAACGAATGTTTAACTTATTAGAATTGCTATGGCTTCTATTGTTTTTTAGATGGTTAAAATCCAGGACATAAAACAACTTTTCATATTTTTAAATACCCTGATATTCAGATTACAAGTAAATCCTGCAGTGAAATGTATGTTCTGTCAGTTTTTAAAGGATTCACTCAGCAGTGTAAATATGAAAACAATTACCCATTGTAAAAGGGCTTATCGATTTTAAAGTATGACTTTGCTATGCAAGATAAACTCTTTAAAAGGAAAAACGAATAAATTAGCATTATTAATACTACTGATTGAAAAAAGAACCATGGTGTTTAAATTGATTCAGTCTTGCAGCATTTCAGTCACGTTCCTGCGCACTCAGAATGCGGCCAAGGCTGCGATATCAAACTGAAATTAGTCTGAGATGAGCTTGTACTTCTACTGGTGTCAAAATTAAGTTTTCCTCAGCTTTCGGAAATAGATGTTACTAAGTCTGCCTCTGTCTCACGCTGGGAATTAGAATCGTGCGGGTGCAGCCTGAGGGCCTTCCCGCCACAGCGATGCAGCTGAAATCGGCCGTTTGCCACCCTGCAGGCATCCTCTACAAGGGCGACGGCGAGAACCAGTTCATTTCCCAGCAGCCCGCCGTGATCAGCACCATCATGGGCAATGGCCGCCGCCGCAGCATCTCCTGCCCCAGCTGCAACGGCCAAGCGGACGGGAACAAGCTGCTGGCTCCTGTGGCCCTGGCCTCCAGCGGCGACGGCAGCCTCTTCGTGGGCGACTTCAACTACATCCGCCGCATCTTCCCCTCAGGGAACGTCACCAGCGTCATGGAGCTGAGGTAGGCCCCGTGCTGGGGGGCCACCGCCCAGGCTCAGCTTGGCCTCCCCCTCTGATGCATTTGGTTTGCTCTGCCGGATACGCATGGTGTGTCCCGCCTCTGATGTCCCGACGGGCTGTGTCCGGCGGACGGCCCAGACAGTCGCATGCATCTTGGCCACATCAAAAGGCCGCCGGTCCTGTTTGCCAGCTGTCCCCGTGGGCCCCGCCGGCTACCCGGAGAGGAGTTGGTCCACTTCAAAGCGGCGGTGGAGTGCAGGGGGCCGCACATCTGGGCCGACGGCACGGGGACCGTGGCAGGAAATGGCCGTCCCGTCAAAGACTGGGATCAAAAATACATTTCTTACATACCTAACTGACTTTCACACAGCCAGCTTATTAAATGTGATTTCAGTACAATGTGCATCTTTCTTGGAGTTTAATTCAAATAATATTTATGCGGTTTAAATTATAGAGCCACCTATTTATAACAACATAGTGCATTATTATTATTATTATTATTATTATAATTATTATTACATAGATATGCTAGTGTGCATATCCAGAGCTAAATATCTTTCCTAGACTACATGCATACAGTCCATCTGATCCAGAGTGATTTTTAAATGGCCTATTAAATCAACTCTGAACTCTGGTCAGAGTAGACAGCTGAAGAAATAGGTGATAAACTAAACAGCGGAAAATAAGGGCGCTGTGTCATTTAGCCTTTACACCAGGGGTGGGCAATCGTATCCAGAAAGGGCCGCTGTGTGTGTGGGTTTTCGCTGGAAACTCCCTAATTAGATTACTAATTACAGGACTGATTGGCAATACCTGTGTTTGTACAGCTGAGCTAAAGATTATCCCAAAACCCTGCATACATCCTGGCCCTCTGCGGATGAGGTTGGCCATCCCTGCTTTACACTGTATTTATCTGGAAGCGACGCGGGGATGGTCACCCGCTCGTCTGCTGAGTATTACTTAGGAAACACTGTGACCTAGACAGCAAAACCGTCCCCTTCTGATGTACACATCGTATAGAGATTAGGCGGCCATTCCTGCACTAAGACGGCCAGCATTCTGCACGCATGTTAAAAAAGTGATTTAGAAGTATATACTTATTGTCTCTGACATAATCAATAAGCTATTATGAGCCTGTTAACCTTAGTGGAAGCTGTGATCTAACATGGCAGTCATCTCCCGGGTGTAAAATTCTCCAGCAAAAAATTATTGCTGAAATAATTCTCAGCTGCTCTGGGACTAAAGGGAACATCTTTGCTAACGGCCTCCTTCATCGTTTTGTCCACACATCTTTAAACTTTACACTAAAACGTGTCTTCCTTCTCTCCCTCTCTCAACTTCTTCTCCGGTAAGAAATAAAGATTTCAGGCATAGGTAAGAACCGCATGTGTGTATCTGAGCCTTCAGTGTCTGTTAAGTGGGGTCAGTATTTACTGTGGTTTCCCCTTACAAAAATGTCTCATTCATCTACCAGGTAACCTCAGCATTCAGCGAAATTCAATAGCATCCATTACTTTTCCAGAATTGATTACCGTAGGGCCACGTTCGCCTAGAATCTGGCCTGACAGTAAATCAGTCATCATTTTTACAATCAGTTTGGTCAATCTGTCAAAATGTTAACAAATGGGCAGAATCCCTTAGGGTCCCAGAATAAATTGATGTAATTGGTAATGCATTACAACCCAACAGTCTGTAATTTAACAGATTACATTTTTTAGCAAAATTCTACAGATATTCTGTTAAAAAAAAAAAAAAATGTGCTGTAATGGTGACATTTTTGTGAAAATAGTTCTCGCTATTTTCCCATCATGTTCCATTTTCGATTTAACTGGTAATTATGATGGATTATTAGTTCAAAATGATTACATTCCATATCATTATTTTCATTAGTGGTGGTAACAGTGCTGTTATTTCAGGACAGTGTTTTTGGTTTAATTGGCCGTGGGAAGCTGTCAGGGTGAAGCGGACATGTTGGTCACGCGACAGGGGAGCGATCTAATCAAAGGTCTTCATCGCGTGCCCCCTCATCCCCCCCCCCCCGCTACGGCAGCCTGATGTGCAGCAGCCCTGCCCAACTGATTGGCTTTTTTTGGAAAGGGGGTGTTTTAATGGGAGGAGGGAGGGTGTCTTTCTTTTTGTGAGTGTTGCTGAGGCCCAGGCTGTGTCACCAGGGAATGTCCGTCTTGCGGCAGGCCTGCCTGCCCCCAGAGCTCAAAGAGTTCCCCATAGCACCCCCCCCCCCCCCCCACGGATTAAGAAAAATTAACCAATCACTTGGCGGTGTGAGTGTAGGTGTCAGGGAGGAATGTATTTTTAGAAAGCTGCTTGGGCTCATTTTCCTAAGGCGTTGGCTGTGGAGATAATTCCTCATGCGATATTAATTGTAATGAATTATCAATAGAGCGGAGCGAGCTTCTGCACTGGAGCTCCATGGCTGCTGAATGCCTAACGCGGCGTCACTGGGATGCATGCGGCCGCGGTGGCGTGGCTGTCACCCTGCTCCGTCTGCGCGTGTGGCCCGGGGGTCACTACGGCCTGATCTGCCTGCCTAGGGCCCCCTCGCCGTCCAGCCCCGTCGACCCCCACCCCCCTGCTTCCCTAATGATGACTGCTTATCCTGGGCCGTTCCGTGACAGCCGCTTAGCCCCGTCTGCACACCCGTCACGTTCCGCTCACCTTATTTTATTCTTTTTTCACGCTCGCCGTTCTCGCCATCTGCTTTTTCTGCTAAAATAACAATAATAAATAAGGAGCTAATGAGCCGTCGTAATAGGTAAGGGATCCTCGCTGATGTGACTGTTATTTGTGGCTCCCTTTTACACCGATCGCGACGCAGTCCCACCAAGGCGGCGCTGGTGGCCAGCGTGTGACATGTCGGAGGACATCTTTAATGCCCTGTCACACTGCGGCCTCTTATCTTCGCTTTTTCTACTGTCCTGATGAGGGACTCCCATCGCCCGCTGAGGGTTGTGTCGCTCATCATTACTCTGTGGTCTTCATCGTGTATTCATGCATTTTTTTCCCCCTTCTTTTCCTTTTTTTTGTTTGTTTGTCACACGTCGTTCTGGGACAGGCAGTGCGGGTGGGGGGAGGTGTGAGCTAGTCAGGAGTTATTATTTCTTTCTGGGATGACACTGACGGTCCCCCCCCATCCCCCAGCAACAACCCTGCCCACAGGTACTACCTGGCCACAGACCCCGTGACGGGCCAGCTGTACGTCTCTGACACCAACTCGCGGCGGATATACCGGCCCAAGCTGCTGATGGGAGTGAAGGACCTGCTGCAGAACAGCGAGGTGGTGGCGGGCACCGGCGAGCACTGCCTGCCCTTCGACGAGGCGCGCTGCGGCGATGGCGGCAAGGCCACCGAAGCCCTGCTCATGGGGCCCAAAGGTAGGACCCCAGGGCTGTCCATTCAGTGCCTGTAATTTCACACACCAAACCACAGCGTCACCTCAATAGACAGACAGACAGACAGATAGATAGATAGGTAGATAGGTGGGTGGATGGATGGATGGATAGATAGATATATGCTTTATTGTCCTTGTAAGTACAATGAGATATAGTTTGAAACGCGTCAGCAGATGCACAGTATATTTACAATTAAAAAGATTCTGAAGCATACAGTTGAATCGGATAATAAAGTATGTACAGACACTATATATGTACACAATATATATGTTACGTGCCTCTGCTTCTCCCTCCCACATCCAAAAAAAAACAAACCCATTTCAAACTGTTTAAAAGCATCAAACAAATGGCAGTTTCATATTGGGGGGACTAAGTTGATCACTTAGATATAAAGGTCTGTTTATTGGGGGGATGAATAAAGCCAAATTAAATAGCAGGGGCCACAGCTCCTGGCTCCTACCGCCTCGCGTCGAACTCTGCAGCATCCCAAGATTTAGTGTCCCCTTCAGTCACCTCTGACCGCGTAATGTGGGGTTTGACCTTTGGAGTCTAAGGCAACAACCCATAATTAATGTGCACAGCAGAGGGTAGCTGTTTCCGGGCGCGTCGGACGCCATGCAGAGTTTAAGCAGTTGGAGCTAATATCCTGGAACCACAGAATCGGCATCTGGAACAGTGGAAAACCAGAAGACCACCTCAGAAACAGTAGACACAGGCCCGGTCAGACCCTGCGGCATGTCTGTGATACACCTCGCTGAGCCCAGGGGGAGGGATGGGGGGGGGGGTTTGGGGACAGGGTGATTGGGCGGGCAGCGCTGGCCCCGTGTCCATTTGGGCCCCGGGAACTTCCGATTCCCTTAAAAAAAGAGGTCACTTCCTGCTCTCTGAAACGGCACTTTCTGGGAGTTGGATCAACATGGAGAGAGTCGCTGTGGCGAGCAGAGAGAGAGACTGTGAGGAAGAGAGAGAGAGTGCGGACTACATGTCAGCACCAGATGGCTGAGATCTCCCCCCACCCCCCCAGATGGCCAGTGGACTGTGGGCTCGAGAATGACACTTTTTATCCGTCCGTTTTTCCAGAAACTGTCGAAAAGCCAGCCCTCTAGAATTCATCATTATCCCTCTGTGCCGGTCCAGCCGCCCATTAGCCACACGCGTGCGCTTCAGCGGAGACCGTAACTCACGCGAGCCCCTCTGCAGCCTCCGACGGGTCAGGGGGCCACCCTGCCAATCTGCCTGTTTCCAGTTTAACCTGAGCCTGAGGGAGGCGGAGCCTCTCTGCGGGGCGTCGAGCCCAGCGCCGCGTAAACAGGCCCGTCACCGCGGGCTGTGGGTCGCCCTTCCCAGAGCGCCAGCCAGCAGCCCCCTCCCTGGCTCTCGGAAGCGTTCGGCCCCAAAGTCAGCCATGGTTTGGCATTTTACCTGGGCCTGTATCCATGGAAACCTGCCGCTCGCCTCTCTGTCATATGTAAAACAGCGAAAGCTGCCGTGAGTATGTGGAAAGGTCCCCCTGCTCTTTAATTACTTCTGGAATAGGATCCTTTTAAGTGTAAACCTTATCACGCTTCTTTAACACCTCGGGTTAGGAGATGGTCTGAAAGCGATCGTAGCTTCTTGCGCATGCCGACCCGCGGGATCCTCCTGTGCCAGGGAGCCAGATGTTGATTCTGAAAGCGTTTCTTCTCAGAAACCAGCGCGGTGTGGATTCTGACGGTCCCAACCCCCACCCCCAGGTATCGCCGTGGACAAAAATGGAATTATATACTTTGTCGACGGGACGATGATCAGAAGGGTGGACCAAAATGGCATCATCTCCACCCTGCTGGGATCCAATGACCTCACCTCTGCCCGACCTTTGACCTGTGACACCAGCATGCACATCCGTCAGGTGAGCCTCGGGACTCATAGTCCTTTGTCTGTTTTTTGGATATTTTTTTGTATCCACAGAGTCTGTTTAAGACAGAAGTACCTGAAAGGGTGACAGCTCCCCCTGGTGGCAGCTCCTTTGCAGCAACAAACCCTGTCAGGCACCACTGGTGAATAGTGATGTGACCCATTAATCACTCAAGATGACAGGTGAACCGCGCGTCTCTGACCTCACCCCGCTCCGGCACAAATACGGCTCCGTGAAACACCGGGCCATAAGCGAAGGAAAACAATCAACGCAAATCGACTGTAAAAAATGGTGTCCTGTGCCTTAAATGTAGCGTGCCTGTGCCAGTCGTGCAGCTTAGCTCCCTGGCGTTTTAACATTACAACATACTGTGTAGTTTCAAAATCACATGCTGACTTTGCCGACTAATCGGGCTTTTTCTCGCCGGTTAGTGCATCGCCTCTCAAACTGTGACCCTTTTAGAACCTTTGGGCCGTTGGTTAAAACAAGCCACTGTCCCTAATCACTGGGGAGGTAATTAGCCCCCACTGCACAGAGGTAAGATTTACGAGGCAGCGATGTAACGGATGTGGCAGACAAAATAAAGGAGGTCTCCGTTAGTCCAAAGCACCCCAGGATTCTTATGGCTGCTTTCACATTTATTTTGGTTGTGGTTTTAATGTAGAGCCAGAGACGAGGACCCGGTCAGGAGATGAATGGCATGAAGGCAGGCAAATCGAATCAGAGTGAAGCGTATTCCACCATCATGGGGAAGCATCCCTCTTCATCAGTGTCAGGCAGCCGCGCGGGGTGGGGGAGGGGAGGGGATATGGGGGCTTCCGACGGCGAGTGCTCACCATGCTTGTGTCGCAGGTGCGTTTGGAGTGGCCCACGGACCTGGCCATCAACCCCATGGACAACTCCATCTATGTGCTGGACAACAACGTGGTGTTGCAGATCACGGAGAACCGGCAGGTGCACATCGTGGCCGGCCGGCCCATGCACTGCCAGGTGCCCGGTGTGGAGTACTCCATGGGCAAGCGGGCCGTGCAGGCCACGCTGGAGTCCGCCTGCGCCATCGCCATCTCTTACAGCGGTGTGCTCTACATCGCTGAGACGGACGAGAAGAAGATCAACCGCATCCGCCAGGTGTCCACGGATGGCGAGATCTCGCACCTGGCGGGCGCCCCATCCGAGTGCGACTGCAAGAACGACGCCAACTGTGACTGCTACCAGAGTGGAGACGGCTACGCCAAAGACGCCAAGCTCAACTCACCGTCCTCACTGGTTGTGTCCCCGGACGGCACGCTCTATGTGGCCGACCTGGGCAACATCCGCATCCGCGCCATCTACAGGAACCGGCCGCAGCTCAACTCCATGAACTTCTATGAGGTGGCCTCTCCCGCCTCCCAGGAGCTCTACATCTTCGACGTCAACGGCACCCATCAGTACACCACCAGCCTGGTCACCGGCGACTATAAGTACAACTTCAGCTACAGCAATGAGAACGACATCACGGCGGTGACGGACAGCAGCGGCAACACCCTGCGCATCCGCCGGGACCCCAACCGCATGCCCGTGCGGATCGTCTCCCCGGACAACCAGGTGATCTGGCTCACCATCGGGACAAACGGCGGGCTAAAGACCCTCACTGCCCAGGGACAAGAGCTGGTGCTGTTCACCTACCATGGCAACAGTGGCCTGTTGGCCACCAAGAGCATTGAGATCGGCTGGACCACCTTCTACGAGTGAGTTCGGGGGGGGGGGGGCTTCTTATAGACTTCAGACTGTTCACCTTGCTGCCATGTTTCTTGGAATGGCTCTTTTCGCACGTGTAGTGGCAATTTTCGAAACAATAGGGGAACTCATCCAGAAAGGGGGTCTGACTGGGCCCCTCTAGGTTAGGCTGCCTCACAGTGCTGCTGGAGGTGAGAGGCCCGGTGTGGTGATGCTCCAGGCAGGAGAGGCTGTCCTGGATTGGGAGGAGAGAGCAGATAGAGAGAGGAACTGTAATAAATCTCCGGGGACAGCGCTGGGGGGGTGGACAGCCGAGCTGCTGAAAGGGGCTCAGGGGTAGAACGTGGCCCCACAGTGCTGTTACTCAGTAGAGGCACCCTGACCAACATATACAGACCTGCATATAAACGTCAGCTTTATGTCTGTTCAGATGCATATTTCTTGATGGCAGCCATTGTAAACCTGTGGCTGTGAGAAAGATTACGAGGCTAAATCCCAAAACGTCACATTTGCTGTCATGTACTAAGATGTTAAATAAAGTCGTATTGCATGCGTGAAGCGGCTCGTGTTCCACGGCAGAGCGCTTGCTGCAAAGAAGTGTCCCTGTGCCAAAAGCACTAAGTTGTCCGTCCTCTGAGTAGAGGAGTGAGAGCAGCAGTTGAAGAGATGGAATCAGATCCAGGGCCCATTTCTGTTCAGTGTTTCTTATCTCCAAAACTGAGTTGGTATCCAACAGAACCACCACTGAGATCTAGCTTTTTTGTGTTTTTTTTCCCCTACTTTATCGTCTTTCGGTTGTCTGTCCCTGGGCTGCTGTGGCCTTTGGTCGCTCTGATATCCATGAACGGTGACTTCTGTCCCCCAGCTATGACGGAGAAGGCCGACTAACCAACGTCACCTTCCCCACCGGCGTGGTCACCAGCCTCCACAGTGAGATGAAGAAGGCAGTCACGGTGGACATCGAAACGTCCGGCAGGGACGACGACGTCAGCATCACAACTAATCTTTCCTCCATCGAGTCCTTCTATACTCTGGTTCAAGGTGGGGCCGGTTGCTTGTTCAGTCAAGTGGAAATGCCCAAAATTGCATGTACAGGGGCTAGAGAAACAGCTGACAGCCATTCATACTCCAGCCAGCAGCCAAATTCTCTCCGGTGCAGGTCCACTCAGAGCACATTTGGGGTGCCCAGTTCCTCCCTCGCTGATGCCCACGTCGTCCAGCAAAGTCAAAGTCATTTCTGTTTCAATAAAGTCGGCAGCAGTGACTTTGACCTATGCCCCCCCGCCGACCCCCACCCCAACCCAGCCAGTGAACTCAATTTCATTCCTTGCTCCACGACATGGCCTCAGACAATAGGAAGCGTCTTCCAGCCTTCCAGAACCAGGCGCCAGAAATTTGGTGGTAATTAAACGGCCGCCCCCACCCCCCACCCCAACCAATCGGACAGGCTGGCAGTTCATAACGGGCGACAAAAACGGAGCGAGGAACTATCAGGCGGGTGGCTGGGGACTGGGGAAGGTGAGGGAGGAACACCGATTAGCTGTAAGCCACCTCAGGTGTCGACATCGCCGCTGCGAATTCGGGGCTGCCAGGCGAGGCGCCCATCAAAGGCGGGTTTGACGACGGGAAGAAAAAGCTCTGTAAGCTTTTGTTACCCCGTGCATGTTTTGCGGCTCCTGTCATGAGCATGAGAAAGACGCCGACCTTGGCTCCGTGCCCAGGAGCTCTCTGCGCTTCCACCTTGCCCTTTAGCAAGGCTGCCAGGAAATCTCTCCTCATCTGTTTCGCACAAAGAAAACCTCTGTGGTAAAAGAGGAGTGAATGCGTACCTGCTGTTAACTCCTCCTCTCCTGTGTGTGCCCCCCCCCCCCCGCAGACCAGCTTAGGAACAGCTACCAGGTGGGTTATGACAACTCGCTGAGGGTGATCTACGCCAACGGTATGGACACACACTACCAGACGGAGCCGCACATCCTGGCCGGCACGGCCAATCCCACGGTGGCCCGGCGGAACATGTCTCTGCCCGGGGAAAGCGGGCAGAACCTGGTGGAGTGGCGGTTCCGGAAGGAGCAGACTCGGGGCCGGGTGACAGTCTTCGGCCGTAAGCTGAGGGTGAGCCGCAGTTCTACCCCACCAGGGCGCCGAGCCGCTTATAGCGCCGCTTTAGTTAGTCCGCAGGTTGATAGGAAGAGTTCATTATGGACGGTCGGTAAACTGTCACACACAAACAAGTGTGAGCCACATCGCCCAGGCGTTTGTTATTCCGTACGCAGGGAAAGGCAGGCCACTCTCTGACAGCTAGCGGCAATTAAGGCCCCCCAATTAGACCGAAAATATGGATGTGTGACCCCGGGATGTAGGCGCGGCTGTAACGGTAGCGTTTTTCGCCTCTTTAGATGTGCTTGAACCCCGGCTGAGCCCAGCCTAGCAGCGGCGTGTTGTTAGCGCTCTGTTCCGCAATCGCGCTGCCGCGTTCCGCGTCGACATCGGCGTCTCCCGTTAATTGGAAAGCCGCGTCAAGGACCCTGACACCGACCGGTTCAGCATCGCCAAGGGGCACGGGCTGGGTTTGTTTCCAATTTGCCGTGTTTATGCTAAATATGACCCCCCCCCCACCCCACCGCAGGTGCTCAGCCCCCGCAGCCTGCCCCCAGTGCCGGATGGATTGTAATGAATTTGCATTTAGCATGCCTAATATTAGGCCGCGATGATTGCTCGGAATTTAAAAAGCACTCACTCTCACCTGGGAGAAGATGAATCTGAATCAGCCGCTTCATCCGAGTCATTATGCTGAAGTGTCTTAGAGGCCGGCAGCTCCTTTAAAGAAACATGAGGCCATTACTGCTGCCTTGTGGTGCTTTTTCGGCGGTGGCTGCGAAGCCAGGCCGGTGGCGTACTCCCTCTGCATCTGCAGAGTGACATCGCTTCTGATTTATGGGAAATAAATTGGGCTGAGGTCAGGAAAGGATCCGCTCCTCTAAAGCCTGTCATCTCCAAATGAATAGCTGCCACTGAAGGGAGGCTCACGTCGAGCCGCTCTCGTGCTCCTTTGTTTGTTTTATTCTTTTCGAGCTTCTCTGGGGGCCTTGGATTGGGTGCTGGAAAGGCATCCTTGGATGGTTGCCGGGGCTTCGGGGTAACACAAAATGTCTGACTGTCATCGATACCAAATCAAAGGCTTCATCACACAAAATGTCTGACTGTCATCGATACCAAATCAAAGGCTTCAGCTGGATCTCTCTCACTTTTACTCCCCACTGCCCCCATCTGAAAAATTAGGTGAACGGTAGGAACCTCCTGTCTGTCGACTACGACCGGGCGATGCGGACGGAGAAGATATACGACGACCACCGCAAGTTCCTTCTGAAGATTGTATATGACTCCTCTGGCCACCCGACTCTCTGGGTGCCCAGCAGCAAGCTGATGTCGGTCAACCTCAACTATTCGTCCATGGGCCAGGTCACCAGCATCCAACGCGGTCCCACCACCGAGAGGGTGGAATACGACAGCCAGGGGCGCATCGTGTCCCGCACCTTCGCCGACGGCAAGACCTGGAGCTACACCTACCTGGAGAAGGTGAGATGTTATCTCCTGCATCGTAGGCGAGGAAAACTTAGGACGTGTTCAGCAGCTGAACGTGTTTGACCGCCCTTGACCCCTTAATGTATGTCATGTGACTGCAATTAAGTTAATCGTAGCTGTTTACTAGCTGTATAGATCTGTTTATCTGATTACATTTAAATTTGAAACTTATTTTTTAAACATTTTACGAAGCAGATGTGTTACATAAACACACACACAACAGCAAAGGTATCATATAATTGAACAGCGCGGCATAAAAGAAAATTTATTCACGGTTCCGTGAGCTGTGAGTATACCAGCGCTGCAGCGTGCGGGGGCTGAAAATTGGTCCTTTTTTTTAAGGACAAAATGAAATACTTAAGAGAAGTGAAACACTTAGGAAGAGAAAGATGCCTGAGAAAACAATGCAGGACAGGAGAACATCATTAGAAAGCACATCGGAGATGTTTTATGGCTATTAGATTGTGTAGAAACCAAAATATAAAGCTCACAAAGGCTGGGATTGTTTCCTGCCTTGATCAAAGGAAGGAGCTTTTGTTGAAGAGGGTGAAAATCCACATAATGAAAAGGACAGAAATGGCTTTATTGTTACAGAGCTGCCCTGAAAGTACTGTACAAACTGCGAGAGTCAATAGTAAACAGCAGCGGCTTCATTTGGCTGTTCTTGTCAAGGCGGTCTGTCAGCCTCGAGGGGTCCACGGAAGAATAACTCATGGCTTTGGTTGGGTTTACCGTCAAGATGACTGACAGGAATCTGAGGGATTATGAAAGCAGAATTATCGGCCAGCCATCAGCCCAGCCTGAGCAGGGAAGCGGAACGTAATCCGGGGGTGGTGGTGTTATGAGGGTCAGAGCTGAGGCCTGTTCCCAGCATCCGGTGGGGGGAAAATGACCGACCGCCATTCCCAGTGGGGCTGCTTCAAACCCAGCACAGGGCGTGTTAGACGTCTGACAGTCCAGGCCTTCCTCCTGCTCACCCAAAGGTGCCACAGAGGATCTGGGCAGCGTCTCACCCGACGTGAGTGATAGCGTGCTTGTGTGTGCGCGCATGTCTCCACACAAGTATTAAATATGCATAGATTTCCCCCTCCTGCTCATCGGCTGCCACCGATGCGGGTAGCGTGACCAGGAAGAGGGATATCGACGAGGCAACATCTGCAACACGGGCGTCTGGGGATGGTGGGTGAAATCCATCGCAGTCGGCCTGACAAGGTGAACGGTACTCCCCGGTGTGGCAGGCACCCACTTAGAGAGGCCAATAAAAGGCCTCCAGCCCCCGTTCACTTCTTAAATAACAAACAGGGATTGAAAGCCCAAACCGTGTTGTACAGCTTTGCACGGAGCCCCGTTTAGATAGGCCACAGCGAGGATGGGTTTCCTTGCTGCATGCCACCGGCCCCTCTTCTCTTCAGGCCTATTTCCCGGTGTTTTATTCCGCTTCTCCGTCAGAATACGAGTCTCCGTGCTGCGATAAAGATAACTCCCTGACCTTCCTGCGTTTCAACTCCTTTCTCTCTTTTTTTTTAACGGGGGGGACATTCTGTAATAATAAACCGTTTGCCTTTTGATTTTATAATAATATCCAGTTCATCTTTGAGAATATGGGAACCCGCTGTTCCGCTAAGTGGCTGTGATTTCCACCCGCGTTACGCCATAAGTAGTGGCACGCCATGAGGTCCGAGTTAATAATTGCCGAGTGCCTTAGAATTATCCATCTGAGCACATTAAACGTGCCATGTGCAGGTTGAGGGTAATTGAGTTAAAAAAAGGATTTTGTTGCCAATGTTGAGTATCGGTGGCTGTTCCGGTGTCAGATTCTCCTTTCCTGACATAATCTCCACCGTCCTTCTCTCCCTCCAGTCCATGGTCCTGCTGCTTCACAGTCAGCGTCAGTACATATTAGACTACGACCTGCAGGACCACCTGTCAGCCATCACCATGCCCAGCGTAGCCCGGCACACCATGCAGACCATCCGCTCCATCGGTTATTATCGGAACATCTACAGTCCCCCGGAGAGCAATGCATCCGTGGTGGTGGACTACAGTGAGGATGGCCAGCTGCTACAGGTGGCCCACCTGGGCACGGGCCGTAGGGTCCTATACAAGTACCGGAGACAGAACAAGCTGTCGGAGATTCTGTATGACAGCACCCGCGTTAGCTTTACTTATGATGAGACAGCAGGTGTCCTGAAGACGGTGAACCTGCAGAGCGAGGGATTCATCTGTACCATCCGCTACCGGCAGATCGGGCCCCTGGTCGACCGGCAGATCTTCCGCTTCAGCGAGGATGGCATGGTGAATGCCCGCTTCGACTACACGTACGACAACAGCTTCCGCGTCACCAGCATGCAAGGTGTCATCAACGAGACGCCGCTGCCTATCGACCTCTACCAGTTTGATGACATTTCCGGAAAGGTCGAGCAGTTTGGCAAGTTTGGTGTCATCTACTACGATATCAACCAGATCATCTCCACTGCAGTCATGACCTACACCAAGCACTTTGATGCCCATGGCCGGATCAAGGAGATCCAGTATGAAATATTCCGTTCTCTGATGTACTGGATAACCATACAGTATGACAATATGGGCCGGGTAACCAAGAGAGAGGTTAAAATTGGGCCCTTTGCCAACACGACCAAGTACGGCTATGAGTATGACGTGGATGGACAGCTCCAGACCGTGTACCTCAACGAGAAGATAGTGTGGAGGTACAACTATGACCTCAATGGAAACCTTCACTTGCTGAACCCGAGTAACTACGCTCGTCTGCTCCCGCTCCGCTATGACCTTCGCGATCGGATCACGCGGCTTGGGGACATTCAGTACCGCATGGATGAGGATGGTTTCCTGCGGCAGCGGGGCACTGAGATCTTCGAGTACAACTCCAAGGGCCTCCTGGTCCGGGTCTACAGCAAGGGCAACGGCTGGACCATACAGTACCGGTATGACGGGTTAGGCAGGCGTGTGGCTACCCGGACCAGTCTTGGCCAGCATCTGCAGTTCTTCTACGCTGACCTGAACTACCCGACCAGGATCACCCATGTGTATAACCACTCCAGCTCGGAGATCACCATGCTGTACTACGACTTACAGGGCCACCTCTTTGCCATGGAGATCAGCAGCGGCGAGGAGTTCTACATTGCCTGTGACAACACCGGCACCCCACTGGCCGTCTTCAGCAGCAATGGGCTCCTCTTGAAGCAGGTCCAGTATACAGCGTATGGCGAGGTCTACTTCGACTCGAACCCGGACTTCCAGCTCGTGGTGGGCTTCCATGGGGGCCTGTTCGACCCCTTGACCAAGCTGCTCCACTTTGGAGAGAGGGATTATGACATCTTCACTGGACGGTGGACTACCCCTGACATCTCGACATGGAAACGAGTAGGCAGGGACCCCACACCCTTTAACCTCTACATGTTCCGGAACAATGACCCAGTGAGCAAGGTGCATGAAGTAAAGGAGTATGTCACAGGTGAGAGACCGGTGCTGGACGCATGACCTCACTTCAGCAAAGCTTCTATCAGTAATGTTCTGTTTGTAATTAACTGCTTAAAATAGAAAAGTCCAGGTCAGCATTTGTGTAAAATAGTATTGACATGAGCCATATGGGTTCTCACTGTTAGAATCACACGTGATAATAGATAAATAGTTACTTTTCCTCACTCCTGGCAGATATCAACACCTGGCTGGTGACTTTTGGATTCCACTTGCACAACGTGATTCCCGGCTACCCCATTCCCAAGTTTGACCTCATGCAGCCCTCCTTGGAACTGAAGAAGAGTCAGCTTTGGGATGACCTGCCTGTAAGCTCTCTCAAACTTAACATCTAATTTTATACATGATTTTTTTTTTGCTTCTGAAAAAAAAAAACATAAAATGCTAATGAACTGCCCCAGCGCTTAGTGTTCGGTAAATTTCAGCCTGTAGGTTTAGAATAAACACTAGATTTTTCATGGCTTTGCTGGGCTAGTAAAATGGCCAATTATTCTCCAGCACTGGATCTTTTTCATGTATTTGAAGTGCAAATTAACGCATTGTTTGATAATGATAATCCGGCTGCTATCAAATAGCAAATTATGAAGTCGATGAAAAGCTCACTCATTCTCGATCTGAAAGGCCACCACATTTTTAAATGAAAGTACTCTTTGCTGATCATTGTACACTAAATCTGTTCTCTTGGCCTAGATATGTGTTATGTGTGTGTTTTTTTTTCTGCTTCTCTTTGTGTCCTGATGCCAATGTTAGATAGTACACTTGGGTTGCCATTATTTAGCCCGTCTGGGCACTAATCACCATCTCCCACTTCAGCTGGCACGCTTCGGTCAGTCTCTGCTGTTTCTCACATGGCTACTCTGCTCCATTCCACAGACCATCTCAGGGGTCCAGCAGGAAGTGATCCGGCAGGCCAAGGCCTTCCTGTCCTTTGAGAGGCTTCCGGAGATCCAGATGAGCCGTCGACGGTCCAGCCGAGAAAAGCCCTGGCTGTGGTTCGCCACGGTCAAGTCGCTAATCGGCAAAGGGGTGATGCTGGCAATCAGTCAGGGTCTGGTGACCACCAACGCACTCAACATCGCCAACGAGGACTGCATCAAAGTGGCAGCAGTGCTTAACAACGCCTTCTACCTGGAGAACCTGCACTACACGGTAGAGGGCCGAGATACCCACTACTTCATCAAGACCACCTTGCCAGAGAGCGACCTTGGGGCACTGCGGCTAACCAGCGGCCGCAAAGCGCTGGAGAACGGCGTCAATGTCACCGTGTCACAGTCCACCACCGTGGTCAATGGCAGGACTCGCAGGTTCGTGGACGTGGAGCTGCAATACGGCGCCCTGGCGCTGCACGTCCGCTATGGCGTCACGCTGGACGAGGAGAAGGCCCGCGTGCTGGAGCAGGCCCGGCAGAGGGCACTGGCAGCCGCGTGGGCGCGGGAGCAGCGGCGCGTGCGGGACGGCGAGGAGGGCGCGCGGTTGTGGACCGAGGGGGAGAAGAGGCAGCTGCTGAGCAGCGGGAAGGTGCTGGGCTACGACGGCTACTACATACTGTCCGTGGAGCAGTACCCCGAACTGGCCGACAGCGCCAACAACATCCAGTTCCTTAGGCAAAGTGAGATCGGGAGGAGGTAACAGACTGTTGCCGGTTGCCAAAGAGACCGCTCACGGCTCGGAGTGTCCTCCGTGTGCCTTGGGCCGTAGCCGCGACGGACTGGACACAGAAAACAACCGGCCGCTCTGGACTCAAGGCGGCCCACGATCCACATTTCTGTCCGGAGCACAGCCTCTATCGAACTGCGTGGACTCTCTCCCAGATAAGGAGCAAACAATTTGTACAAGTGAGGCGTCTTTGAGAATGACCCTGGTGATCCGCTTAAAAAGAGAAGTAAAGAATAAAATAGAAAAGGTTTACATACACATATCACAGCACTCATGCGGACTGATGCTTATAAAGCTTATTGATTTTTGTTACGAGATGGTGTCTATAATCAGCTGTTTGTGCTCATTCCCAATGGTTGACCTTTGCTTATAAAAAAACAAAAAAAAAACGATTATAAAGCCAGTAGTCTCGCTCTCCAGACCCAGGCAAATGCTGGGAACCACTGCGGCCCCTTCATCCCACTGGCCGTTGTCTAAGGATGCTGTCAGCGGTGGCCAGGGCCTGCAGCCCAGTGCGTCGGTGGGCTCGTAGCGGTATCATGGGGCAGGAACAGAGCCAGCCAGGCGGAGGAGTAAAGGACAGGCCGTCGTATCCGGCAGAGTCTCAGAAAAGCCTTTTCACCCCAGAAAGGATCCGTAGCGGGTTTTTGTATGAATTCCCACCTACTCCTACATTCGATATTAGTCTCCGAAAAGGTAATTACTGTAAAGTGTTTATACGCTAAAAAGTAAAAACAAACAGATTTTCCTGTCACACATTGCTGTTTTTACTCTTCATAAATTTTAAATATTTTAGTCTATTAAAATTTATGGTAATGTTAACAAAAATTAAAATAAACAATCGATGGTACTTTCTACAGGTGTACTGCTATTCAACATTTTTCTTAATTATCAGTCGTCACGGCTAATTCTGGTGTACAGATCGCTGATGTTGGATGTGGAGCTGAATAGTTGCAAGTAAAATTTATAGGAATATGATTTCTTTATCAGGCTTTTAAATCCTGTCAGGGGGAATAAAATATACGTAGGAGCTTATCAAATGTTTTTGCCGTTTGGTAGCACCAAACCTCTGCCTCTGATTAAATTGTAGGGAGTAAATGGTTTTCCCTCAGAGAAACTGCTGTCTGGACAAAGAGAATTGAAACATTTCAAAGCATTTTGCATTTGTGTGTGCAGGACTCACGTATGCCGATTCCACTGTTTGTTTAGACGAAAGTATTCCCGATCATTTCGGAAGCGATTGGCTTCTCCTACGTTTTGTCAAATTAGAGAAACTTGCCAGTCCCACAGCTGCCCAGAATTAATAGGGATCTCTGAGAGCTTCGCAGAGCAACCAAATACTTCTAATGTCTTACCATTTTTTAATGCTAACCATTAGCATTAGCATTTTTTAATGCTAACTATTAGCATTGCCATTTCAGTATCTAGGACACATGGTCAGCTGCATATGTATTTCATGTGAGCTCCAGCTTTCACATATATTCTCATGTTGTGGTGTGTTCAGAAAACCAAGGTTCTGTTCGTGTGATGAAGTGGTGGGCGGGGCCTCTGAGGGTGGGGGCTTAGAAATGGCCCTTCGATACTCTGACACCAGCAGAGAGTAACACCATGGGTGGGGCAGAGCTAATTCGAGGTTACACCAGTGTGCCAAGGGTGTGCAGGAGATGCGAGCTTAGCTTTATGCAGAAAAGGCAACACATATTACTAACTGCAATGTTTTTCTTATCAGTGTGAATTTACCCACAGGGAAATACTTGTAAATACTCTTTATAAAATATTGTGCAACTGTGTGTACAGACTGAGAATTATGATTTTTTTGTTAGTTTTTTTGCTTATTTTCAGCTGTTGAATTGTATTGCTTAGAATATTTTTATATACCTATCGGACCATCGGATTGAGTGTGACAGCAGCACTCCTAGATTGTACAGTATTTAGCTATTTTTATGGCGCCCAATGGGTGGAGGTGTTACTGGTCTACCGCTGACGGAGCCGACCAGTAGCTGTTAGCCACACTGGCCTGCTTCTCTGAGCAGCTTCCAGCAACTGCCACAGGAAGTAGGCTAGACGTTGGGACCAGGAAGTGCCACTGATCCCCACCTCAGTGCCCCATATCTGTGCAGTCCAGGCGATGCAGCCTACGAGTTTCGGGAGGAAAGGCTCTCTGTGTATGGACCGTCACATGGGGGGGAGGGGCAAGGAGATCATTCAGTGTGCACTGACAGGAGGCCATTTTGTAGAAAACAGAGGTTTTCTTTGCTTGTTTCATTTTGGAATTGACTTATAAGAATGTGCACAAAAAAAACAAAAAAAAAACATGGAAAACTTGCAACACTGCACGGAAGTGCTTTGTTTCCCTCTGGTTGCCATGGGAATGAAAGAGGTGCCATTGGTCAGGGAGGGAGGGAGGGAGGGATAGCAGGAGTGTGAAAGCTGAAGGTGAAGGAGAGACACTTTTGTTGTTTGCATGCCTAAACTGTGTAATGGCCATCTACACTCATTCTCGAGACGTGACAATGTGCATTTTGCTCTGTTCCCTCTCTGTGCAAATCCCCTTCAGGAACAGTCGTCTGTGTTGTGTGTGACAGTGCACTATGGGTGCTGTAGTGTATGAAGCCAGTAAGTCGCTATGTTCACTGCCACACCGCCGAGCGCTGGCAGATCCCGCCCGGCGGGTACGCATCTGCGACTCACCGCGCCCCAGCCACATGTCACATCCAGCATGCGTGACTGGGGGGGGCACAGGGAAACGGACCTGTCTGACGGGGTTCCGTTTGCGGCATCCTGGGCCGACGGGGCTGTGGGAGGAGTTAAAGGCGTTACGCAATCGTTCCATTTCTTAGTGAAGCCTGCGGCCCGTAGACTGTAACAGTGGCAGACAGGTAGCAGTAGGGGGCAGTATTCATCATGTGTCCCGAGCTGGGTGCCCCGTTTTCACCAGTGGGCCTACAGGACACATGTCACTCAGCCGACGCTGGTTTACCCCCCCCCCCCCGCAACTTTCATCGTCACCATCGTCATCAGTTGCGAAGGTGTTGAGATCTTCACAGGCTGGAGGCCCCGAGTGAGTGGGGCTCCTACACGTATGGCGGTGAGCAGAATTTGAACCACGACCCGTTTGTCTAGTTCATAGCTATCCTGTGTGGATTATGTCGCTTATAGACTTCTTTGGTATTTTCTTTTCTATTTGGTTTTGAAGGGAACTTGGTAATGATGCTATTTTTTTTTGCTTCCTGGAAATCAGAGAAAAAAATGCTGTTTTGCTTCGTAGGTCTCCATCCTTCTGAGAGTCTCGGTCCACGTGGGAAACGACTCAACTGTAAACCAATAATGTGTCAGTCCTGTTTGTAACAAAGTTACAGAGTCATCTTAATTTATTCTGAGATTTATTTGTTCCCAACCAGCATCTCCCCGTTTATTATGTTGTTTTCTATACCCATTGCTGTTTAGAGTGCAATTAAGTGCAATTTAATGTAATCTCAAAACAGTCATTTCTGGGACTCTTCGATGTGTTATTGGTCCAGCGAGATCAATCATACAAATAAAATGTAATACTGTAAAGCTTTCTGAACACGCTGTTGGCTGTTGATTTTTGCTCTTTACTGCAGTGAGTGGTTTATGTTAAAGAAGGGGGGGCTTCCCATGGGCTGCCTGACCGCTGTCTGCTGGGATCTGTCAGACAGCTGATTGAAAGCATGGGGCTGCTTCTCCCATTGTAGCCTCCTTCCTCCAGCCATTGGCCCACATTGGCCCTAGCAGGGAAGAGTAGAGTGTGCACACTAAGGCCCAGTATCCACAAACACTCTGGACTGACTTATCCAGTAAAGTATCAACCCCCCCAACACTGACTCATCCATTGGCTAAGCAGATCCTCCCATCTTTTGTGAGACTATACTGCTTACTCTCACACTCATTCACCTTGTTTGATCCTCAGCTACTCACATGTGTGTGTGTGTGTGTGTGTGTCTGTAGTAGTAGTAATAGTAGTACAAAATACAAAAGACACAATACTGTACAAAACAGTACAAAACTAAATTGCAATGTGCAAAATAAAGTGTGCAACCTTTAAATACTATACTATTCTTGAGGGCTGGTGACTGAGTGGGGAGAGGGGTCTGGGGGGGAACCTTATGTAGCAGTTGATGGCCCCTGGGAGAAAAGACCTTGGATGGGGCTCACTGCAGCAGCACGGCTGTGTGAGTCTATTCCTGAATGTGCTTCTCTGCTTGATCAGGGTGTGATGCAGGGGGTGTGAGGCATTGTCCAGTATGGAGAAAATCTTCTTGAGTGTTCCCTTTCGGACGGTTGTTTCAAAGGAATCCAAGTGGATTCCCAGAACAGAGGCAACCTTCGTAATCAGTTTATTGAGTTTGTTTGAGTCCCTTCTTGTAGCATTGTAGCCCCAACACACCGCGGCATAGAAAATCGCTCCTGCAACCACAAACTGGTAGAACTGCTGTAACAGAGACCTGCAGACTCAAAAGGACCGGAGTCTCCTCAGGAAGTAGAGGCAGTCCAATGCCTTTTTATACAGGGCCTCTGTGTTCACAGTCCACTCCAGCCTGTTACTAGTCTGTATGTGTGTGTGTGTGTGTGTGTGTGTGTGTGTGTGAGCAGGTATACCTTACTTTATGGGAACACAATGTCCCCACAACGTGTTGAATACCTGTTTTTTTTCTCTTATGGGGACCAGGAAAGGAAAACTCAGTTTAATAAAAATCTGCGACTGCAATGAAAAAACTCTAGTATTTTGCTTGGTTGCTTATGGTTATGGTTAGGGCTGGGTAGGAGTTAAGGTTGTCATAGTTATTGTTAGTATTTTTCCCATAGAAATTAAACATATGAAGATATGTTTGCCCGATGTGTGTGTGTGTGTGTCTGTCTGTTTGTGTCTGTGGATCTCTCCCTGCACCTTGAGGGTGGAGGGAACCTCAAGCAAATGCACTGGCCCAAAGCTATTAAAGCTTCTTCATTGTCTCTGTTGAAGTGCTGAAACGCTGCCGGCTTTTCTAAAACTAAATTATGAGCGTTGCGTGTCTCCCGGCGTGATGAGCTTGCCACTGGCGGCTATTTACATCTCGTGTGCTGGATAGAGCCTCGCTTTGAACCTCAGCTTTTGCCGTATGGCTCATGGCTATGAATTTGCAGTGTCGCCCTGGAGCGATGGAGCGCTCGACATCGCCGGCCGCATGGCCTCAAGACACATAAGGTCCAAGTCTCGTGCTCCGCCCCCCGACTTTCTACACCTGGCTGCCATTTACCTGTCCGGATACAAACAGCCGCTCTAGATGAGACCCGTTTTGATCATCATGGGGGAGAGGGCCTTTGATTTCTAGTAGAATCTGGGCAACTATCTAACCCCCGCCCCCCCCCTCCAAATTTGGGCACACAGCTGATTGGCTGGCACTCGCCTTTCTCTACCTTCCAAAATGCCCCGGGAAAGGCCTGCTGCAGGCCCGAATATTTGTGTCGTGGTGTCTTCCCGGTCATGTGACCTTTTTGTCTCCCTGTAGTGGTGGGTGACTATAATAACAGCGGTCTGCGCAGCTGTAATTAATTAGATGGCGCAGACCTTATTTCGGTGTGTTTCATGGAAAGCTAACTTGTACCCACACTGTGTCTCTGTCTGTCTGGCCGAAGCCTTAGTTAAACAGCTCTTCCATTTAATTACATTTGAAATTGAAGCGAGCAATAAATAATGTATAAGCGTTTGGAAGGCCTGCTTGCTAACGGGCCCCAGAGCTGAGGACACCCTCCAGCGCGCAGACATCACCGCCTGATGGCAGCGGACTGCGACTCTGTCAGACCGTTGACGGGAGGGACGTGGCCGCAAAGCCTCAGAGACGAGGAAGGCCATCCTGCAGGTGAGAACAGGCTCATGGAAATTTCTGGAAACCCAGAGGATGGTGGTGAGTGTGCAGGCTGGCTCGGCTCAGTGGTGTGGACAGGATAGCAGTATCCTTCTTTCTTGGAGAAAAGAAGGACGTCAGTATATAATCTGTGACTCTGAATCTTATAGAGCTTAAGCCAGAGAAGAGTGCCAGACATTTTATATGGTGTTAGGATACCTGAAAGTCTTTCGTTCCAGTGTTTTCTCCGCCTGACTGACTCTGGCTTATTGAGTAACAGCCCATTTGTGCTGGTGAGCTGCACTCCTTCCCATAAATGCTCTCACTTATCAGTAGCGCTCCTGTCCTCACAGCACTTAGGCAGCCAATCATTCAGCACAGAATGCCTGAAGAGCCCCCCCCCCCCCCCCCCCCCCAGGCGGGCGAGTAGAGGTGGGGGGGGACGCCTTCCAGCCGATTCCGCTGCACAGTATCACTCTCCTCCCAGATGGGAGTTAACCGACTTCGGGACCAGAGCCCGGACTCCCCCAGAGCACCAGTCGTACTCGGACCGAGCCATGTGCCGTCCTCGCAGTCCAGCACCAGCCGCATGTGGCATCTATGTTAACGTCGTGCTCCGCAATCCTGTTCGAAGATTCAGGAACTGCAGACACCATCAAACTGGACCATGTATGGCCATATGCTCACCAAGGCCTTTCTGGGAAAGGTGGGTCTGTCTGTCCGGTCGTGAGAAGCCTAGCTGCAGCAGCTTTGCTTTGGCCCTCATTTAAGGGACTTTCTCACTCTCATATTCAATAGATCATAATTATTTCATTGACCAAAAGATGCAATACGATTCTTGCGAGAAGGAAAAAGTCAGATCCTTTCAACACATTCCTGTAGCATTGACTTTGAACAAGACGTTGATCAGTAGTTGTGCATGAAGCGATTTGTTTGAAGAGCTGACAGAGAAACGCAACAAAACAGCCTCTCCTTGACATGCAAGATTGCTGTTTTTACGGCTTTTCAACACAATCTGTGCTTGCAGGTTTCTTGACAGGACTGAGTTATCAAGGAAGAGAAATAGTTCAGTTTGGTATCCTGGCCTTACTTTCACCTCCCGGCTTGGCAGGTGGGTTTTATCTCCCCCCCCCCTTTATAAATTGGCCGCTTCTGGCAGGTCAGTCTCTGCAGAAAAGCAGAACCAGCCATGGAATTTGATGCTCTCCTGAGACTGCAGCTCCCATTGGAGCGCGAAGCGGAAGAAAACGGCCGGGATAAAGTGGAGCGTAAGCGACGGGTCATGGCATAAAGGAGCCGTTGATGTATGTCAGGAATCCGCCCTCACTGCCGCCCACGCAGCGATATCACTCCAGGACCGTCTGTACACAGAGTCGGCCGAGCGTCAGCCGTCAGCGCGGGAAGCAATACCACATCTCCGTGTTCCAGCACCTCTGCCGTTCCTCAGCTGAACCCCTGAATCCAGCTGCCTCCGTAAGCTTGGGGACTGAACCAAG